CCAGCTTTTCGGCGGATGGTGAAGGTGATCAGCTCGTGGTCGCTGTCACCCAGCTTCCCATCGATCATTAGGTCACCAACTAGGTCATCCCCAGGAGCCAGTACCAGGTCGAGCAGCGCTTTGCCTCTCGTTGGCCCATAGACTTCTTGAGTCAGGTAGAGGTCATCCACGCACGAGAGGAAGCTCTGTGTTCCCTGGCTTCATTCACTTCTTGAGTCATCGGGACAGAGTGACTGGTCCTACCCCCCTCTGTGACACTGGGATGAGGGGGGCTTCAGTCCCCACTTGATCCCCAAGCGGTGACTCCCTATGGGGCCAGGGCATCAGAGGAACAGCCTGGAGGCTCCTGGAAGGGCCAGAAATTTGGGGGCGGGGGTGAGGAGCACTGGGACCCTACCTCCAAAATCTAGGCACAGGGGCCCCACAACTGACACAGAACCAAATGGGGAGAAGCCCTCCAGCTGGATGCAGCCCCAGGAGGGGGAGGGGTGGGGAGTCTGTATGTTCTGGGACTGCAAATAACCCCACCATGCTTCAGGCTGCGGCAGCCGGCAGGGAAGCACAGAGGAGTGGGACCTCCAGGGGTCACGTCTAGCCTGGCCCTCTGCCCGAGGCAGGATCAGCCCTGCCTAAACCATCCTAGAAATCCTGTAAAACCACTGTCTGTCCTGACACGACGCACCGCACCCGAACCTGCCCCAGGGGAAGCTGAGGGACTCTGGCCATCAATGTGGATCCTCCTGCTTCTGTCAAAGGTTGTTAATTTACACTCGAGAGATCCCAGGCCCCTAACAGAGGAAGGCAGCCCCCACTGCAACCCATACCAATCTGACCAGGGGGGTAAAATTCCCTCCTGACCCCAATACTGGTGTCAGTCCAGCCAAGTGGAGGGACAAAACCCTCTCGCTGGGATCCTCTGGGTTTGGCCCCAGCAGGAGCAGTCAAGATCATCTAATCCAGGCAGGATCCATCCTGATTCAACCACCCCAGCCACGTGCCCATCCATCCTGCTCTTCCAGGGATGGAGATAAAGATGATGATGATCATGATAAGAACATGAGAACTGCCACTGATTGGGTCAGATTGCGTCGGTCCATCTGGCCCAATCTCTTGGGGCACATGGAGGCAGAGAGTGGACACTGAAAGGGCAATGACCTGGGTTTTTGCCCCTGTTACTCTCTCCCTTGAGGCCTCCAGCACTGAGGGTCTGATTCACAGGCCATAGCCCCTCACTCTCCATACTCAGTAGCTACCAATGCCCCTTTCCTCCAAGAATGGATCCAGTCTCTTTTGCATGATGACAATGGAGATGACGGTGATGATGATGGATGATCTCAAAATGAGTATGGGAAGGAACCTCAGGAGGTTGCATCTCGTCCAACCCCCTGCTTTGAGCAGGGAGTTGGGCTAGATACAACCCCCTGACGTCCAGCTGCACCTGGATCCCAGGATGAGGTCCAGCTGCACCTGGATGGTCCCAGCCAAGGCTTTGTGGAGCTGGACCTTAAAAACCCCCAAGGATGGAGACTCGACCAACTCTCTGGGCAGCCTGTTTCAATGCTTCACCACCCTCCTAGTGAGAAGGTTTTTCCTAATATCCAACCTCAACGTCCCTTGCTGCAGCCTGAGCTCATTGCTCCTTATTTTGTCATCTGAGAACAGTCCAGCTCCATGTTCTTCGGAGCCACCCTTCAGGGAGGTGACAGCTGCTATCAAATCCCCCCTTGGTTTTCTCTTCTGCAGATTCAATAAGCCCATTTCCTTCAGCCTCACCTCATCCATCCTGTTCCCCAGTCCCTGAACCATTCTCATTGCCCTGTGCTGGACTCTGCAACATCCTTTCTGTAGTGGGAGGCCCACAGCTGGACACAGGACTCTAGATATGGCCTCCCCAGTGATGAATAGAGGGGAGGAATCACTTCCCCTCCATCTGCTGGCAACGCTCCTACTCAAGCAGCCCAGGATGCCCTCAGCCTTCTTGGTAACAAGGGCACACTGCTGGCTCCTACCCAGCTTATTGTCCACTGTCACCCCCAGGTCCTTTTCTGCAGAGCTGCTGCTGAGCCAGTCGGTCCCCAGCCTGTCCCGGGGCCTGGGATTGTTCTATCCCAAGTGCAAGACTTTGCACTTGTCCTTATTGAACCTCATGAGATTTCTTGTGGCCCAATCCTCCAATTTGTCTAGGTGTCTCCGAATCCTAGCCTGACCCTCCAGTGTATCTACTACACCACCCAGCATATCTACTACATTCCCCATAGCCAGGCTAGAAGAGAGAAAGATGGCAGAGTGGACGCAGCCTACAATGAGCCCAGGCAGGGTGAACTCTAACTCATTTCTACTGCATTGCAGACCGGCGCCAGCACAGAAAAGAAGCCGGAGCCCATAGCCCGGGCAGTCCCAGCTCTCCATTGATACAGCTAACAAAGGACGGGGTGATGGGAGCAATGGGATTTTGCTGCAAGCCCTTCCCCCCCCGCCACCTGATCTTAATGCCTCCCTGGAGGCAAAGCCCATTTTCTGAGTCTCTGGAGCCAGGGAATTCTAGTTCACAGAGCTCTCCAGACACTGCTTGAGGGGAAGCTGGAATAACATCCTATTTACAAACCCTTTTTCTGCATTTCTCTCACCCTTTTTTTTCTCTCCTTGAAGAGACCCCCCCCCAACCCTCACTCATGACATTTGCATGGAAACGGGAGGCTTGTTTCTTAGCGATTCATCTGCTCTGGCTGCTTCTACTCTGGATCCGAAACGAAGCCTTCTCTGGGGAGGGATAGGGCATAGTACCAGGGATGAGAGGGAAGAATGGGCTCCCAGTGGATCACGTGGCACGGGGCCGAGGTGAAGGCCCCATAAGAACGTAAGAATTGCCATTTCCTGGGGCAGACCCTAGGTCCATCTTGCACACAGCAGCGGAGAGCAGAGGTTGAAAGGGAGAGTGACCTGGATGTGTCCAGGGTTTCCTTCCACTGTTCCTCTCTCCCCTGTGGCCTCCAGCATTTGAGGTCTAGGAAGTTCTGATTCAGAAAAGAGCCACATGTGGAAGAAGACCCATATATGGTCTGGGTCTTTGCTTCACAGATGAGCTGCCCACTACATCCCTACCCTGCTCTTGGCCACCACAGATGGTGTGGAGGACACTGCTCACAGTGCCCCGACTCTCCAAAAGCAGAGGGTCCCCTAGCAGGTCAGCCCTGGGGCTCCACAGGATTAAGGGTTTCCTTGAGGACCTGGCATTTAAATATGAACAAATGAATCCCGGTGAGATCTGGGAGTGAAGGACAAAGGGACAGCCACGTTGTGGGGGCCTTACCGAGCGGTGTCCGCATCGAAGGAGGACACCAGCGGGTTGAGGTGCCTGTAGCGGTTGATGAAGGAGTCCTTGTTGACCTCCCAGATCTCCCGGTAGACATCCCAGGTTTTCAGGTAGGCCTGGAGGTGGGTGGCATTGGCTAGCATGCCCCCGCTGATGAGAGCCTGGATCTTCTTGATGTCTTCATCACGCTCTGAGGAGTGACACGCAGCAGCTCAAAGATGTGGTCGTAGTATCTGAGATTCCCTTTGCCAAGCCCCTCCACCCCCCTGGGGGAACGGCTCTGATTCTTCTCATCTTAGATCAAGAGGAAACTGAGGCAAAGAAAATGGTTCATCTAGGACTAGCAGGCTACAAGCCACAACTTGTTCCTCACTCGATGCAGGTTATATTGAGGAACTTTCTGCCCAGACTTGCCAGGGGATTTTTGAGAAGCAGCTTTGCCAGCTACCAAATGCAGCCGAGTAAAATAAATGAAGTAAAATAAATGGGAGAGGAACTGGGGTCCTTGAGGGCAGAGGAACTCAGCGTCCAAGAGGAGTGGTCGTTCCTTAAGGAAACGATACTCGGGGCCCAAGGGGTGTCCATCCCGACAAGAAGCAAGGGGGGGAGGAGTGTCCAAAAGCCCCCCTGGCTCACCAAGGATGTCCGGGAATGCCTGCTTGCCAAAAAGGCGGCATACGCCCGGTGGAAGGGGGGTGTAATCTCCAAAGAGGAGTATACCTCCTCTGCTCGGGCCTGCAGGCGGGCTGTTAGGAAGGCCAAGGCGGATATAGAGCTCGGATTAGTGTCCAGGATTAAGGATAACAAAAAGTCCTTTTTCAAATATATCGGGAGGATGAAGAAGGCGCCGGGTAATGTGGGGCCCCTGCAGGATATGCTGGGCAATCTGGTGGTTGCGTCAGAGGATAAAGCGGACCTCTTTAACCAATTCTTCACCTCCGTTTTCTTGTGCAGGGACCGGGACTTCCCTGCTGTGATAGAAGCCGGACGCGAGGGGATCGCCTTCAGACCTCAGGTTGGGGAGGACCGGGTTAGAGAGCTTCTGGAGGGGCTGGACGCGTTCAAGTCAGCGGGTCCGGATGCTCTCCACCCCAGGGTGCTGAGGGAGCTGGCTGGGGTTATTGCAGGGCCCCTGGCACGGCTCTACGAGCGATCGTGGTGCTTGGGCCAGGTGCCAGACGATTGGAAGGTAGCTAATGTGGTCCCCATCTTCAAGAAAGGGAAAAGGGAGGACCCGGGCAACTATAGGCCCGTCAGTCTTACCTCAATCCTGGGGAAACTCTTTGAGAAGATCATCAAGGAGCACATTTGTGATGGGCCGGCATCAGAAATGATGCTCAGGGGCAATCAGCATGGATTTATTAGGGGGAGATCATGTCAGACCAACCTGATTGCCTTTTATGATCAGGTCACAAAGGCCATGGACGCAGGTGTCGCGGTGGATGTAGTCTTTCTGGACTTCAGCAAGGCCTTTGACACCGTCTCTCACCCCATCCTAATTAATAAACTAGGCGACTGTGGCATAGATGCCTACACAGTCAGATGGATTGCAGATTGGCTGAAGGGTCGCACTCAGAGGGTGGTGGTGGATGGATCATATTCGACTTGGGGGGAGGTGGGTAGTGGAGTCCCCCAGGGCTCGGTCCTGGGGCCTGCGCTGTTCAATTTCTTCATCAGCGATCTTGATGTTGGGGTGGAAAGCAACCTGTTTAAATTCGCTGATGACACCAAAATTTGGGGGGAGGTGAGCACGCTAGCAGGGAGAGAGAGATTGCAGAAGGATCTGGATAGGTTACAGGGGTGGGCAGACAGGAACAGGATGCGTTTCAATACGGACAAGTGCAGGGTGCTGCACTTGGGTAGTAGGAACCAGCAGCACACTTATACGATGGGGAACTCCCTACTTGAGAGCACGGAGGCGGAAAGGGATCTTGGTGTCATTATTGACTCCAAGATGAACATGGGCCGACAATGCGAGGTCATGGTTGGCAGGGCTAACCGGACCTTGTCGTGCATCCACAGGTGCATCTCGAGTAGAGCCAGGGAGGTGATCCTCCCCCTCTATGCGACGCTGGTCAGGCCGCAGCTGGAGTATTGTGTCCAGTTCTGTGCGCCCCATTTCAGGAGGGATGTGGACAACATGGAGAGGGTCCAGAGGAGGGCCACCCGCATGATCCGGGGACAACAGGGCAGACCCTACAGTGAGAGACTGCGGGACCTGAACCTATTCAGCCTCCACAAGAGAAGGCTGAGGGGGGACCTGGTGACCGTCTATAAACTCACTAGGGGGAACCAGAAGGGTTTGGGGGAGACGCTGTTTCCCCTAGCCCCCGCTGGCATAACAAGGAGTAATGGGCACAAGTTGATGGAGAGGAGGTACAGATTGGACATCCGAAAAAACTACTTCACAGTTAGGGCGGCTAGGAGCTGGAACCAACTTCCAAGGGAGGTGGTGCTGGCCCCTACCCTGGGGATCTTTAAGAAGAGGCTGGATACCTACCTGGCTGGACTCATTTGAGTCCCGTTTTTTGTTTAGGGTTCTTTTGTTGTTCTCCCGCCCTGGCGGGGGGTCGGGCTAGAAGATCTATTAGGTCCCTTCCGACCCTAAACTATGAAACTATGAAACTATGAAGTGTTGATAGCTAGGAAATTGTGCAGGAGGAAATTACAGCTGCGTGATAGGAGGATCGACCAGCCGTGGCTAGGAGAAGAGATGCCCACTGGGTTATCTCAGCGAGGCATCTGCAGCCTGGAGGTTGGAGAGCCCAGGTCAATAAAGGACCTGGCTCTGGAGACACCTCCATGCCTTGGAAAGACACTCAAGGGGACTTGATGGAAAAGATCTCCCAACAACCAGGCTCTATCTTATTTGTAACTGAAAGGGCAGAAGGATGGAGTTGAGGACACCATAGGGGAGAGGTGCTGCTGGGAGGACGGAGATGAGGGACAGCCTTACCCACAAGGACGGAGATGGGGTCACGGAGAAACCTTCGCTTGGTGAGGACCTCAGGCAAGTGGCGGAAGATGGAGATGCAGGCGATGAGGTGGCTGCCGATGTCATTGACCATGTTGGCGAGCTGGGTCAGTGTGGGTGAGAACTCCACCTGGGAATGGCAAACGAGGACTGGTACCACACACAAAGAGCCCGAGACCACCCCACAAGCTCAAGCCGATTCAAGTTTTCAGAGGTCCAACCCATGACCTTCATCTGAAGATCCCATCCCATCTCCACCAGGTTTGTCCACTTCTGTTCCTCCCCACCCACCCACTCAGCAGCTTTCCTCTCATAGACTCCTACAGACACTGAATCCAGGCCTGGCCCCACTGCCCGGCGGCTGGTAAGGGGGACACCTGCTGGTGCCTGCATGGAGCTGCGTGAGGGATGTGGATGGGGACCCAGCAATGGGATGAGGCCTTCCAGTAGTCTACAACCTCAAGGGACCTGCTGGGGTATAGCCGTGACCTTGTCATGTCCCCTTAACCCATAGCCATGCCTAAGGTGGACATGAAACCATTTGTGGGCGAGTTGAGCTCATCCATGGCTCAGAGTAGGTGGAGAAGACCCAAAAGGAGCCAGTGCTATGGGCAGCACCATGGACCTTCAGGGAACCACCAATCCTGTCAAGGATAGAAGAACAAGAGGCACCAGGGACCTGGACAGAAAGTCGAATGCCTCGTGAAGGGACCAAGAACAGATCATATGAGCAGGACTGGGGTTCCCTGGTGGGATCACAGCACGGTTTTGGGGGCAGCGAGCACTTTGGTCTCCTCCTTCTTCACCTCTCATCCAAAGTCATGGGGGTAGAAGGCATCACGGGGCTCACCTGTGAGGAAGCTGGGTAGTTGTCTTGAAGGATCACCTTGACCCTGAACAGGGGACTAGGCGTGGTCTTGCCATCCCCGTTGATGGCCTTGGACAGCTCCACCAGGGACCACTTGACGTTGAGGCGGAAAGCTTCCTCCATCATCCTGTCCATCTTGACCATGTAGGCCATCCAGTGCTGCTGCACCTGAGGGTGGGAAGGGGGCAGTGAAGACAGGCGCATGGGTCTCATCCACCTCAATGGTTGGTTGGAGCTGCCTGGATCTCCTGTAACCCAAGCTCTGGAGAAGATGGGCCAGGTCAGTGGGAAGGAAAAAGTCAAGGGGGTGATGGGTGGAGTCATGCATTGTCAGGATGGGCTGCCCTGCATTTCGGAGCCAGAAGAAACAATTGAAGCTGGTGGTGCTCAGCCTTTTAGCCCCATATAGTGTAAACCAAGTCTGGAGGATGGATCAAGCTCTGGAGCCCAGCATCACCCCCTCCTGCCCCCACATGTGCTGGGATTAGGTCCCAGGGGGCCTTGGCACTGGCCCCTCCCACCCTGGGATTGGTTGCCAGGAGCCCAGAGCTGCCCTCCCTGCCCCCCAACCCCACATGCCAGGATTGGCTCCTGGGGACCCTGGCATTGCCTCCCACATGCTGGGATTGGGGCCTGACACTGACTTCCTGCATACTGGGAATGGACACAGGGGCTTGGCCCTGCCCCCTCCCATCCTGGGCTTGGGTGCTGGTGGCCCAGCATCCATGTTTCCAACACCTCCTCCTATAACCCACCAGGCTTCTCTCCCCTCCAGGGAACCCAGGCATCCAGGCTCCCAACATGCTCTCTTACCCACCAGGCTCCCCTCCCCTCCTCTCCCAGGGAATACTCCCCTACCCCCCTCCCGTTCCCTCACCTCAGGGCTGTCCTGCTTGAAGACTTCATAGGTCTGCCTCAGGATGGCAGCAACCTCATTGTACAGGTCCAGCAGCCTCTGCTGCGCCCAGGCCCGGTGCTGGCGCTGGTCGTCCTCAAACTCCAGGTCATCGTAGACCCGTTTGCCCGTGAGGCGCACCAGCAGGGCCTCACTGAGCTGCTGGGCCCCACAGGCGATGGCCAGCGTGGCCACCTTGAACTCAGTCACGATGGCCTGCACCTGCCGGAGGGGAGTGGGAAGGGAGTCAGGGAGGCCCGGGGCTGGCATGACTCTGCCATGTCAAGGTCCCTGCCCACTGGCATGAGGTCGCAGGGCCCTCACCTTGCTGGCGTGCAGACGGCACTCACTGATGAAGCAGATGCTGGCACCTTTCAGGGACCAGTGGAGCTTCTTCAAGCCAGGCTGAATCTTCCGGTCCAGGTAGCGGATGCGCTCCTTGAACAAGGCTCTCTCCTCGGGCGACAGCATGTCGATGATTCTGAGGAGATGGCACAACTTAGCTGGGCACCTCTCCTGCCTGCCTCCCCACCTCCCGCCCACCCTGCTTCAGACAAGAACCCAGATCTCCGGGTCCCAGATCCACTGCTCTAACCCACCAGGCCCCACTCTGCTCCCAGAGTTGGAGAAAACCCAGGTGTCCGAGCAACCAGCTCCCTCAGCTCTAACATACCAGAACCCACCCCGCTCCTAGAGAGGAGACAGAACCCAGGCATCCAGGTTCCCACCCCTCCCTTGCTCTATCCCACCATACCAGAGCTGGAGAGAACATAGGTGCCCACATCCCAGGCCTCTGCACTGGGGATGAGAGAAACCTCTGAGGCCAGGGGACACATTCAGCCTGGACAAGGGCCGGTGCAGTTATCTCCACAGATCTATGCCCAGCTGGATGGAGCTCCACCAGCTTCCAAACTGGCCCTGCTGAGATCTGCTCCAGACCTGAGGCCTGTAGACCTTCCTTGTGAGGTCCTGGCTATGCTTTTCCCCCCATGCCTCACGTGTCAAGCGCCCCTTACACATAGCCCCATGAGGTCCCAGGACCTTCTGGTCAACCACCTTCCGGCTCTGCCCAAGATCTTCATTGACCAGACCATTGGTTGGTGGAGAACACAGCAATTTGGAGCTGGCTTCCTTTCCCTTGCCCTTCCGAGCAGAGCTCTGGGAGGTTTCTTGCCTACAGAAAAATTCTTCCAGGGCCAAGAACTCCGCAAGCCCCCAGAGGAGCAGGACAGCTGGGACAGTCTGGATTCCCATGGGGTCTCTCTTATGAATTACATGGTGGTGTTACTATGACGCAGAACCCTTAGAAGGATCTCACAGCACCCTGGCTGTACAACAGGGGCATCAAATAGATGGACTATGGGCTGGATCCAGCCTTCTGGGCTATTGGTGGGCCAAGGGGTTTAGAGGCATGGCTAGAAGCGGGCAGGACCTGCTGTGGAATCTGGGAGCCACTTGCCCTCTACCACCATGGTGGCCATTGCTGCCCCATGACCTGGGATTGGTCTGGATCTGACTGGGAGCCCAGCAGAGAACTTGCTACCTTGCCATTTAACAGACCCTGAGGGGGATGGGGGTCTTTGGAGGTACCGTCTGGATGCAGCTGAGCCTGACCTGGCATGCAAGCAGAGGGGAGCCAGCATGACGCACCTTTGACTGGCGTTAAAAATACACCTGTGAAGCCACCACCGTGTTCTCAATAAAGAAACGCCCCCATGTCACACTTATCCCCCCACCCCAGCTCAGGAAGGTTAGTCATGAGACAGCTCACGAGCTGAGGCTGGTTGCAGATCCAAAGCCGGGAGGCCTGAATCAGTACAGACACCTGGAAGGAGCACGGCCCCCAGCCCACGCACCTCTCCCTGCTGAGGGGTCTCTGTAGTAGCGGGGATGGGGGGACCTGTGGCCACTGAGCTCAGAGCCCAGGTAGCCAGAATCAGTGAACTACAAATCCCCCATGCTGCTGCCTCCTGGCTTGGGGCTCCAGGCTGGATCGCAGCTTCTAGCTCCTAACTCCTGGTTCATGCCAGTAGTTCCTGCCCTTTCCTGCTCCCAAGTCTCTAGGGCAGGGGTAGCAAACCCACCCCCTGGATTCTGTGCCAGGCCCCGCCCCTAAGTTTCTTGGCCTACCAGGATCTGCATCCCCCACCCTGCCTGATCCAGCCTATGATGCCCCTGCTCTAGCGTCAAGCCCAGCTGTCCGTGTCCCAGTTGCCCCAATACCCAGGGATGTTGGGGAAAGGGAGAAAACACATTTCCACCAGGGTCTTCCAGTTTTTGGCTCAGCACCAGAATCAACTGAGTCCCAAGCCCAGAGGGGGAGGCTGCCAGGGTGATGTGGTGTGTTGGGTGTGGCTCCCTAACAGCTACATCCTGCATGACCGGATGTCACTGGAGTGAAGATAAAGTTTTCCTAATCTCCCCCAAATCACGATGCCTCCAGATTCTCAGATCGCATGGTGCATTCAAGGCCTAGTGCATTAAAATGGACAGTGAAATGCCGCTGCCTCTGGGACTTCAAAGGTGCCAGGCTCCATAGCCCAATCCCCACTGCGTGCCCACTGCCTGAGCTCTGGGAAGGAGGCTGGAGAGAGGCAGCCAAGAAAGGCCAGGCCAGCAAACCTATTATAATCCCGGGCCACCAGAAGCAGGTTCTCACGGAGGACCCGGAGATCCTCCCTCCTCTCGTAGACCTCTGCCACGTAGTGAGGGATCTCGAAGAGCAGCCGGTCCCAGTAGTGGATCTCCACAAAGAGCTTCAGCAGGTCTCTGCAGAGAAAAGGTGGATTCCATAACAGACCTGTGCTGCCCCCCACAAGCTTCATCCCCACCAGCCCTGCCCCCCATCTTGGCACGGATCCCCCAAAGAAGGAACCCCAGCTGGGTTACAGGCAGGCAACCAGAGGCAGCAGCAGGAGCACGTGGCTTGTGTGGAGGGAGTTAATGGGCTACAAAGCCCTGAGAGATCACTCCCTGCAGGGTGCTACCCTCCCCAGGAGGTGCTGCTCTGCTTGGGCCCTCCTTCAATGCCTGCTTCCAATTTCATTCCCAGGATGGCGCTTCAATCAAGCTCCTGATAGCTTAGGGTTTTGTTTTGTTTTTTTGTTTTGTTTTTGTTTTTTTACAGATGGCTAATTTTTTTTACAGACTTAGAATCATAAAAAACGAGGGTGGGAAGGGACCTCAGGAGGTCACATCTTGTCCAACCCCCTGTTCAAAGCAGGACCAGCTCCAACTAGATCATCCCAGGCAGGGCTTTGTCGAGCCAGGCCTTAACAACCTCCACAGATGGAGACTCCACCACCTCTCTGGGTAACCTGTTCCAGTTCTTTGCCACCCTCCTAGTGAGAAAGCTTTTTCTTAATATCTAACCTCAACTTCCCTTGCTGCAGCCAGAGCCCATTGCTCCTTGTTCTGCCCCCACTAAGAACAGTCCAGCTCCATCCTCTTTGGAATCACCCTTCAGGTAGTTAAAGGATACTATTAAATCCGCCCCCCAGTCTTCTCTTCTGCAGACTAAATAAGCCTAGTTCCCTCAGCCTCTCCTCATCTGTCATGTGACACAGCCCCCTACAATTTTTGTTGCCCTCCGCTGGCCTCTCTCCAACTTGTCCACATCCTTTCTGTAGTGTGGGACCCAAAACTGGACACAGGATTCCAGATGTGGCCTCCCCAGTCCAGAGCAGCGGGGAAGAATTACTTTCCTCAATCTGCTGACTTCACAGATAAGCATTTGTAGCTTGATTTTTACGGTCTGTCCATAAATTCAGGACAGACAGTTGGCCACCCTGGCTGGGTCGGATTGGGCCCTCTGTCCCCACCCTTGCCACTTACTTGTCAAAATTCACATCCAGCATGCCATGCTTCTCAGCACTGAGGGCCAGCAGCGGGGTGTCCAGGCGTTTCAGGCTGTCTTTGTCCAGGGTCTGCGTCCATTCATGGAATGCCCGTCTCTCGATCTCGTCCATGGCTTGGGTCAGCTGCTGGTAGTACTGGAAACTCTCCTCGCCTCTGCCAATGTGAGGCATGAAGTGGGCCTTGGCAAGGCACTGCAAGGCAGAGAGACAAGGGCAGCCAGCGCTGATGCCTTGCCCGACACAGAGATGGGGCACTGGCAGGTGCAAAAAGGAGGCTAATTCTATTCCTCAGAGCAAGGCTGTCTTAATGGCAGCACATGCGGCCTGCAAAGGGTAAACCTGTGGCCTCTGGAGTTCTGGTGGGATCTCCAGACTCCCCCTCCAGCTTCCAATCCCCGGCCCTGTCCCTGGAAGCAAGGTGGGGTGGGCTGTAGGGCCCAGGGAACCCATGGCCTGGGGGCAGCCATGGGCACCGGCCACTCGGACATTGGCCAGCTCTGACCCCAAGCATCTGCACCTCCATCTGCCCTCACGACCCCTTGCTAGTTCAGCCCCAAACTGCTTGGCCCAGATGTGCCCCCGTGCCCAAGCCAGGGCCCCTACATCCAGCCAACAGCTCCAGGTGAAATGTAATGATGCATTTCTCCTTGGCACCTCGGCATTTAAGAAACAGAGCCACGTGTTACACAGGCCAACCACACGCAGAATAAAGCAAATGGCTCAAGGGTGGCTCCTGGCTCTTCCCTCCCCCTCCCTGCTCCAAGCCAAGCATGGAGCTCCCAGCCCGCGGGGGAAACCTGCAGAGGCCAACCACGTAGACAGCAGATGGGTGGCCCCTCCTCAAATGACCTCCCTACACCACGGGCTCTGGTGAGCAGCACCTACCACCTGCTGCTGTAGTGAGCTGGGCTGTTCCACCCCAGAAACGGGCACATTTCAGCACCAGGTGAGGCACCACTGCCAAGCTCCCAGCATGCCCCAGAACAGCATTCCAACAGATCTTGGCTGGCATCTAGCTTTGTGGGGGGGCAAAATCCTAGCATGGAGGTGTTTGCACAGCTTGCCAAGGAGCTGATGCTACCTGACCTCCCCCTGCTGTTGGCTACATAATAAATGTTGAAGCAGGAGAGGCATCAGGACTTTCCCAGGTCGTATGGGCAGGTGCAAAGAGCTCCCGAGGTCAGCTCCCAGCAGGACAGGGGCCCCCAGGTCGGGTCCTGAACCTCTTCCCTCTAAGCCACAACCCTGATGCGGGCAACCCAAGGTAGCAGGCACACATGGGACTCGGTGACTGACGCTGGAAAGCCCATTTTGTTTTCTATGCGATGTGTAATTAAACCTGTCAGAGGAGCTCGCTGACAGAGGATGTTATTGAAGCAAAGAGCTTTGGGAACAGGCACAAACAGAGGAGGGAGCCGGAGGGAGAAAAACAACATCTGTGGTGACGAGTGCCCAGGCGCAGATTTTGAGGGCTGGGTGTTGGCAAAGCCTGCGCGGAGTGCGGGTGGGAGGAGTGGGGGTCAGGCAGGAGCCGCCCACAGAACATGCCGTGCTGGAGCACCCAGCCACACGCAAGCAAAAGCTTGCTGCTGGTGCTGCAGAGATTTGCCTGGGATCCGGCAATGCCGGGGGCAGGGATCAGCTGGAGGAACTGATCCCATCAGCCTGCAGGGCTTGTAGTGGGCTACAGGATTTGGGGTGGAGCTTGTAGCCAAATTTGGGGTGGGGGGCTCTGTCGGGCATGGCTGTCAGCAGCAGAGGGATGACAGACGGGGAGAAGAGGCCACACAGACCCTCAGTTCAAGGAGAGGCTGGACAGCTACCAGTCAGGGATGATCTAGGTGTAGCATGTCTACTGTGGGTATTTTCCAGGTGTTTCCCAGGCTTCTAGGCTTTGCTATTTGCTTCTCCCTCCCCCAAATCCACTACATGTGTCAGGGTGTTTTCAAGCCTCCCTGGAATATATTGAGTAGCTCAGAAATGCTCCTGCTGGGACCAAAGCCAGAGGGTCCTGGCTGGAAGGTCTTGCCCCACCACTCAGGATCAGACCAATGCCAGATTTGGGGCCAGGAGGGAATTTTCCCCCATGATCAGACTGGTATGGAGTGGAGGGGGGGAGGTTTGCCTTCCTCTGTAGAGGAGGCACAGCCTCTGCCTGGGATCTCTTGAGTATATATATATATATTAACAACTTTTTACAGGAGCAGGGTGCTCCCCCCTGCTTTCCCGATGGCAGGTTCGGGTGTGATGCCTAGTGCTGTATCAGGTTTGAAGGTCACCTTATGCAGAGTTTACATTATGGATTGTACAGGATGGTTTGGATAGGGATAGCCCTGACTCAGGGAAGGGAATGGACTGGGTGACCTCTGGGGGTCTCTTCCAGCTGGACTTCTTTTGGTGTAATTCAAATCTGAGGCAATGGGGAGAAGGGGCTGGATAGACCCTTGGGTCTGATCAGGGGTCTCTCCAACATCCACCTGCGCAGTCAAACCCACACAATGGGGGAGGAGGAACCCACCCCATTCCCTGCTGCCACATGGAGCGCGATACCTACGATCATAGGTCGGTCGATGCGGCGGCGAAGTGCCCGGATCCAATGCGCCAGGCCCGAGTAGTGGCCCATGTAGGGCAGCAGGAAGGGCAGCTTCTTGCTCAATTCCTTGTTGACCAGGTTCAGCTCCCAGTTGAAGAGCATGTAGATGTCCACGGCTTTCTTGTCAAAGGTGCGTTTGATGGTCTGTGGGAGGGGAAAGACCAGATGAGTGGAGAGAGGGCTGATCCTGCCTGGAGCAGGGGGTTGGACTAGCTAGATGTGACCCCAGAAGGGCCAGCTTGGAACAGCTAATAGCTGCATTGGTAGAAGCGTTGCCAGAAGATGGAGGGCAGTGATTCTTCTCCTCTATTCTGCACTGGTGAGGCCACATCTGGAGTCCTGTGCCCGGTTCTGAGCCCCCCACTACAGAAAGGATGTGGACAAGTTGGAGAGAGTGCAGCAGAGGGCAACCAAAATGGCTCGGGGGCTAGGGCACAGGATGGATGAGGAGAGACTAAAGGAACTGGGCTTGTTGAGTATGGAGAAGAGAAGATTGAGGGGGGATTTGATAGCAGCTGTCAACTCCCTGGAGGGTAGCTCCAAAGAAGATGGAGTTGAACTATTCTCAGATGACAGAACAAGGAGCAATGGGCTCAGGCTGCAGCAAGGGAAATTGAGGTCGGATATTAGGAAAAACTTTCTCCCAAAGAGGGTAGTAAAGTACTGGAACAGGCTGCCCAGAGAGGTGGTGGAGTCTCCATCTGTGGAGGTTTTGAAGACACAGATAGACAAACCTTTGGCTGGGATGATGTAGTTGGGGCCGGTCCTGCTTGGAGCAACAGGCTGGACTAACTGTGACCTCCTGAGGTCCCTTCCAACCCTCACCTTTTAAGCTTCTATGAAAATCAGCAAACCCCAGTATCCAGGCACTGTCCCCAGGCATAGCCTGCTTCAGTAGAAGCCCAGAAGGCGCTAAAATCCAGCCTCTTGCATAGGGAATTGAACTCAGATTCCCCCAGACTGAACCCAGTGACTAAAGCATTTCAGTCCTTAAGGGTCTGGAGCGTCATATGCAATGAGAAGGGAAGCAGAGACTGAGGTGCCACTCTTGCCCCAAGCCCCTGACATCAGATCCCAGCAGGAGATCTGTGCCCAGTGCTGGGTAAACCCAGCCCCCACATCCTTGGGCCCTGGTCTGGGAGATGATCTCTCCCCATTGGTGGTCCTGAGTGTGTGAGCTGGACACATCCATCACCCACAAGAGGATTCTCCATCTCCCCTCAAGGGTCTTCCACTGCAGCCAATCTCTGATGCTTCCACTGTATCTAGCGAGGCAGGCATGGGGAGAAATACTCCATCCTCTTTGTTTGCTGCCCCTGACTCATAGCTACCCAGCCCTTGAAGCTGTTCCTCTTAGACGGATGCTTCTCAGCCAGCGTGCCGCACCCTGGGGTGCCATGAAATTTTCTTTTAAGAGCACCACGTCCCAGCCACCCTGCCCCACTGGGGGTTGGCTGAGCTCTCTGCAACAGAAGCATTACTCTGGCATTTTTCTGCAGGCAAGAAATGAGGGAAAACAAAGAGCTGGCCCATTTGGAGAGCAGGGGGGAGGCCTGGAGTCTAATGAGGGAAACTTGAGTCTAATGAAGATCCCTTGATCTTGAAGTAACCCCCTACCCCTGAACATCCAGAAATTGCCTCTGGACCAGGCTGGGAGGACAGTGGCCCCTCTTTGGGTTGCAAAGGAGACTGCATCCTAGCAGTAGCAGCTGCTTCCAAAGTGTGGAGCCGGGGAAGGTAAGACCCCACTCCCCAGGTCAGCATAATCCCTCCCAGGCACTGAAGGGGCTTGCCAGGCCCCTGGCACCAGCTGGGGGTGCCGCCCACCTACCTCCCTCTCCGACAGGTGGTGGAAGATGTCCTGGATCTCCACACCGTGCTCCACGTCCCGCACCGTCTCAAAGGCTGAGCTGATCAGGTTCTGGGTCATCACCTCCAGGTCTTTCATGCCTGCGCGGAACCTGAGGTAGAGACCTGCCTTCAAGGAGCTGAGAAGCAGGAGAGGCAGGGACAAAAACTGGGACACCGGTGATGCCAGGAGATGGGAATCCAAGTGCAACCCACAGCAAACCCTCTCCAACAGCTGACATGGCAGCCCTTGTGGGGATACACCCCCAATACCCTCCCCGCTTTAATGGGCCAGGTCCATACTCTCCCATGATGCATACGCACACTCCACCCGCACACTGTAGAGAGGCAACATCCCCCTGCAATGCTGGGGAGTCCTCAACACCCCTCACTCTTTGCTGGGCTGGGGTGTCACTACTTCCCTCCTCCCAGTCCTTCTGATCCCAAAATCAGTTCAGTCTGAATCACAACAATCAACCAGGCGAGTGGTGAGGGGTGGTTTCAAGAGATGCACAGACTAGGGATCACCCCTCAGGTGACCCCAGGAGAGAACAACAGGCGCAGGTCGTGACTCAGTTTTCCTGCTCCACTGGCCAAGAGATTGGTGGGAACACAGACATATGGACCTGAACTGTATAAAACTCCTGCGCACAAAGGCAGAGGGGTGGGAGTCTGGGACATGCCTCAAGCCATGAGGATGGATTAGGAGGGTCCAGAGTTCTCACCCTGCCAAGTCCTAAGGACATTTGTGTATTCTCTGCTGGATGGAGCTGCTTTTGTGTCATGTTGCCTGACTGTGAATACCCCAATAAGCTGCTGTCTAGTTCAGGGCAACTTGCTTTGGCTCCTTCTTGTTCTTCAGAGTCAGCCCCAGAGTCCACCTGGGTGTAATAGCAACACCACCCCAGACAACAGCCGTCTCCTTCTTGCTGTCCTTCCCCATGCCCTGTTCTCAAAAGCCAGGTCCCCCATATGATGGTCCAGAGGCAAGCTTATGGCCTGAGGGCTGGATCCAGCCCACAGAGCCATGTCACGTGGCTCAGGGGCTGGGCAAAGGGAAGAGGGGCCTGGCACGTAAATCCCAGCCCCACTCATGACACTGGAGGTAGGCGTGAGTGACGGCTGGGCTAATCCTTGTGGCTGAGATCTGGCCTGCAAGGAGACCCACAGGCTGGATCCGGCCCCTGCCAGGGGGAGCTGGGGTGAGTTTGACACTCCTGTGATCGCCTGCCCCATCTGTCCCAAGACAGGGGGCTCACCTCAGGGGCAGGTGGAGAGCCAAGTCCACAGTCCACATCCTCGTGGAGCTGAGAGCTGGTCAAGAGCTACCAGGACTCCTGGCCCACAAGCCAGATGGGGCCTGCAGCATCACATCATCCAGCACATGGGGCTTGTTGGATGCCAAATCTCTGAATTCATGGGGATCCCCTGGCCCTGAAAGCTGGATCTAGTGCCTGATCCCAGCATGTGGGGCCAGGCAGAAGCAGTACAAGCCCCAGGGCCTGATCTGGTTGCAGATAGGCTCCATGCCACTCATGTGGCTCATGGGGCCAAAAGGCTGAACACCCCTGCCCAGGAGCCTTCCCCTCAGCTCCAGGCCCTTAGTCCTGGAGACCAGGCAGAGCCCAGAGCTGTCCCGGGCACTGCCCATCTCCCCACCCCACCACTTGGTGCTCTTGGCTGCTGGAGGGCACAGGGACCCCCTCACCGGTTGAAATCCTCATGCCAGAAGGTGTTCTTTACATCCAGGATGTTCCCCTTCATGTTGCGCAGGGCGAGAAGGTGCTTCTGGAAGGTCTCTTCAATCTCCACCAGGTTTCTCATCATCTGGGGCCCACGGTGGCCAAAGAAGCAGGGCAGCGGCGTCTGCTTGCCATCCTCCCAGCGAGCAAAATGCTGCTGGCAGTCGCACACCTAGTGGCAAAAGCAGGGTTCAGCTCTGGTCTCCCACAGCCCAGGATATATCCCAGGCCTGCCAGCCTGGCGTGTTATAGACCATCTTGTGGGCAGGATATAATATGATGATGTCACAGCAGTTGTGATGGGACAGTCATTCGCCCCATGTCTATCACCACCCAGGTGGGTCACTCTCACTGGGGCAGTTATCCACCGTCTATAAATTTACTGACAGACCCTAAAAAATTGAGGCTATAAACATCTGTCTGCCAAGCCCATAAAAGAAATGGAGTTGTCCCTAAAAACATTAAGCAACTGGAACTTGATTGAAGATCCCAGCTTTGAGCAGGGCCACCTGGTGTTCAAAACAGAGCACAGGACCCTGAATGGAGCCTTCTTTCAGGGCTTTGTAGCCTGTAGACCCCCGCCAGCCATTTGCTGCTGCTGCGTCCCTGCCTGTAACACTGCAGGGTTTCAAGTAGGTGGACCTTAGTCCTTTTTCAGGGGCCCAGACCAGAATGGGGAAGGGGAAGGCTGTGTTATGTGTCAGTAAAAAAGTTCAGTTGTCAGTAAAGTACTTGCAGAATGGTAGTAAAAAAAATCCAAACAATTGCCTGGAAAACCCTGACTGGGGTGGTAAGATAAGGCAGCTAGGGACTATGGGATACAGAATGCAACTTCCCCACTGTCCTGTTTCTCCTGCACAGAGCCCGGGATGGGACTGTGGGGAGGGGCAGATGCCAGCTTGGCACTGCCAACTTGTGGAGCAATGTCAGGGATGTCCAGGGCCTGCAGGGACCCCCCTCTCCCCTCAACCCCTTCCACATACCTCCAGGAGGTCTTTGCAGCGCTGGACAAAGGCGTCCACTTGGGCAAAGATACCGCTCTGATCCAGGACCCAACCCTTCCCGGAAAGCCTGCCAGCAGAAGCAGAGGTAACAGCCTCAGAGGGAGATGCTGACACAGCCATCAATCACCCACACTGCCGTTCAGAGCTGGTGGCTCTTTCATTGTCTGTCATCTCAGATTAGAAGGCAGCAGAGGTTTTGTGGCTGAGGCCTCAGGCTCTCTCAGAGACCGTGGCACAAATCCAATGCCTGAATCCCAGTTTGGTTGAGATTCAACCTCAAGCCGTCAGGCCCCCTCACTACTCCCCACCCCAAAGAGGGGTCAAGTGCATCCCCAGGGTGAAAGAAGTGCTGGGCAAGACTCCCAGGTCTCTTCCCACCAATGGGGAAATCCAGGGCTCCTGGGAAACCCAGGAAAAAGATCCTATCATGAAACTTTGGGGGAGATAAAGACCCCAAAGGCACAAAGCTCAAGTACATAATCCCCACTTGCTTGCATTTCCCCAGCACCTCGTTAATGCCTTGCCTCATCAAATATTGATCCAGCCCCTCCAATCTGAATGTGAAGCAGACAAGTAACACTTAGGCTTAATTGTCAAGGACCTGGCACCTACTTAAACCCGACATCCCTAATCATAATGATGGAGCAGGGACTTTTCTTCTCAATTACAGCTCTGAGGAGGCGCAGGGAGAAAAGTTGGAGTCAGGGAGAGAGAATCAGCTCATTTAGGGACAGGGAACAGGGGGGAAGGGCTCAGTGCCTCTCAGCTCTAGGTCATCCATTTCATGCAGGACTTGGCTAGGTGACGAAACGCTGCTGGCTCCTGTGAGCTGCTAAGCGAAGGGGTTTTTTATTCACCCTCTTCAGCAGCATCAGTTGTTGGTTGCAATCCAGACTAGGGATTGGGATTGGGGTATGCCACTGCTCCTGCTGGGCCTCTGATCTGGAGGGGCCTGGCTAGAGGGAGTCTTGCTCCTCTACTCAGGGCCAGCCTGATGGCTGATGTGGAGATCAGGCTGGTATTTGACCCTCACTTCCCCCAGCCAGATCAGCAAGGACTGGGAGAGTTGTATTCCCCTGCCTTGGATGTCTTGAATTTATGACTGTATTTACTCAATTCTAAAATGAGGTCCCCATCCCCACCCCCCATTTAACATGGGGGGAAAGCCCCTCATTTTAGAGTCAAGGGCAAGGGCAAAGGCACTGTGGGGGGCAGGTGGCTGCTGTGGCTCAGGCTCCAACCCCTACCCGGGGTCAGGACTGTAGTCACAGTTGCTGCCTGCCCGCTTCCACTCATACCGCCTCTGCATCCTGCCCATCTCCCCCCTGCAGCCTCTTCCCCACACTGTATTTTCCCTCCTACATGCAGCCTCTGCTCCCTTGACTACCTCTCTCCCTCCCTGCTTACCCAAGCTGCAGTCTGGGACACAGAGCACAGCCACACCCTAGCCCATAGCAGCCGCACGCAGCCCACATGGCTGCTGCGGGGACAGGGCTGGGGCAATGCTCAGTGCCCCAAGCTGCAGCATGGCCAGAAGTAAAGGCAGGAAGGGGGCAGAAGAGGCTGGAGTGGAAGGGGAAGAGGGGCTCCAAGGCTGTGGGGCGGGCGCAGAAGTGGCACGTAGGCAGACGCAAGGAGAAAACAAAGCTGCTTGACCTCCCCACATCATCTGCCCCCTCTGCGGCGATGGGGAGGGGCTGAATTAAAGACAACCCCACCCAATAATAAGATTCCATAAAAAAAATCAGAACAGACTTGCAAATTTTCCATGTCTAGTATCTAATTAGTGGAGGGTTGTCTTAGATAGGAGTCAATACGGTAATCGCTCCTTCCTGTCCACACAGCAGTAGGATGCTGGCAGAAATCTTGCTCCCCAGCCCATGGAGCCATGTCATCCAGCTCACAGGGCTCCCAGAGGGGCCAGGAATTTGGGGGTGGGGCACATGGGGGCAGGATCCAGTGACATGCGAGGCCCAGAGCCCTGCAGGGGATACACATCGGCAGTCAGCATTCCCTCCCTGCTGGTCCCGGGACCCCACCTGTTGTGCATTTCGGCCGCCTGGTGGTACCTCTCCTTCCAGGAGGCCATGCAGGAGATGCAGTCATGTAGGGAGCACCAGCTAGACTCCACATAGCCCTCGAAGATGCGGTCTAGTGAGATGCTCTGGCAGCACATCTTGATGATTTTGTTGCTCATCTAGTGAGGGGATGATTTCATTGTTCAGTACAAGTCAGAATGCCAGGGGTGCTCAACGTCCAGCCCACAGGCCAAACATGACCCACAGAGCTACAGCATCCATCCCACAGGGCTCCCCAAGGGTCAGGAAATCTGGCAGTGCGGGGCTCCCACCCTCCCACACTCACCACTGGCTATGCTCCCAACAGGGCACGGCTGAAAGTGCAGCTGGATTGGGGGCAGACCATGTCCCTTTGCCCCCCTCCACCCTGGGGCCATGTCAAGCCCCCTTCTCCCACATCCACACAGCCAGACAGGGCACCGTCGCAACCGCCCCTGCTGCCGGATCTTGCTCCCTACCCCACTTGCTGCTCTGCACCTTACCCCATCCACTACTCTGCTCTCTGCTCCCTGCCCTGTGCTCCTTGCCCCACTCGCTGCTCTGCTCTCTGTTCCCTGCCCCATCCACTGCTCTGCTCCCTGCCATAGGTTCCCTGCCCCATCTGCTGCTCTGCTCTCTATCCCATCTGCCACTTTACTTCCTACCCAAACCAGCCCAGACAAATCCATCATCTAAACCCTTCATTAAACTACCATCTACCCTGACACAACACAGACCTCGCAACTGAACCTGCCACAAGGAAAGCAGGGGGACCCCAGCCACCAGCATCCTGCTTGTATAACAGGTTGCTCATAAACACTCAAGAGATACCAGGCAAAGGCTGTCCCTGTCACAAAGGAAGACACTTCCCCGCCCCCACCCCCGCAAGTCCATACCGTACCAATCTGACCAGGGGCTAAAATTCCTTCCTAACCCAAATTTGGCATCAGTCTGACCCTGAGCAAAAGGGTAAGACCCTCTAGCCAGGACCTTCCAACTTTGCTTCTATCAAAACCACTGGCCCAGTCCAGTCCCCATCCCCAGCCTGGGCTGCAGCCAACACTCAGTGCCTCTGGACCCTCACCACATCCTTTTGGAAATATGGAGCCCAAAACTGCACACGATAATCTATAGGCCGGGTTCGACACCCCTGCCCAAAAGCCCAATTCAGCTGGGGAAAACCTGAGGCAGGGCAGTTGACACCAGGCCTACCTTGCGGAAGAGGGCTGGGCTGAGCTCCCTGCTGTTGTAGTATGGGGAGTTGACCCAGATGATGCGGACCAAGCTGATGAGGTGAGGCAGCTTCTCAGGAATGTCCTTGGGCTTCAGCATAGCCAGCTCCAGGAATGGCTCCTTCAGGATGGAGAGAAACCGGAGGTTGGACTGGGCCTGCTGGGACCCATCCTGTGAAGCAAAAAAGGGGGGAAGGGGGCAAATTCAGAGATTACAAAGGCTCTCGGATTATGGAGGAACGTGGTGGCATGGAGGCTGTTGGGATGAGACTGGGGTTGAGGTGGCAGGACTTGCGGCCTGTTGGGTTCCTGGGCCTTTCACAGCCCAAAGCAAGCATGGTCCCTGATCACAACCCACTGAGAGCCAACGGCAATGCTCTCAGTGGGATGACAAGGGATCAAACAGATCATAGCTGAGGGGGTGCAGTAGATCTCTGCACAGAGCCCAGAGATCAGGAGGGCAAGCAGGGCAGAATGGATGCATGCCAATGGGGCCATGTCAGGACATGTCCTGACAGAGTGGTGATAGCCGTGGGCCAACATGCAGGAGCCCAGGTCTCCATATCGGGGGTGATGTGCCATGGCAGAGCTGCATGCATGGGTGTGCAAGCCTGAGGAAGGAAACCTGGTTAGCTGGGACTGATGGTGGAACAGGTCTGGACTGGAGCAATGTGGGAGTGTCAAGGTACACTGAGGGCTAGGAACTTCTTTCCTATGAGCCCTACAAGCCAGCTCTCAAACCTTGTCTCCAGTCCCAACACATTCCTCCCTGCCCACCTGGATTTGCTTGGCCAGCCTCTGGAAGGCAGCCACATAGGAGGACTTGGAGAGGAGCAGGATGGTCTCAATGTGCTTCACACCCTGCTTGCTCAGCTGCTTGCTGATCTCTGACAGGTCAGCGCAGCGGTTCTTCCAGAAGGCGATCTCTTCCAGTGGCCCCGTGCTCTCCCGGCTCTCCACCGCCTCCTGGGCCCGCAGCACCTCCTTAATCTGACGAGTCCAATGAATCATGGATGCTGGAAGGAGAAGGAGGGAGATGGCAAAGGGGTCAGCGCCCGGGCTTGAGACACAAGCAAGGTTGCTGGCTTGTTCCTCTCCACTGGAGAGATGCGGGGCTGAATAACGGATGTCTATATAGAATCACAGAGAAGCAGGGCTGGAAGGGACCTAGACTTCCTAGACCTTCAATGCTGGAGGCTACAAGGGAGAGAGGAATTGGTCAGACCCAGGTCACTCTCTCTGTCAGCATCTGCTCTCTTTGTATGCAACACAGATACCAGACAAGGTGGGTCTATGGTGGGATCCAGTAAACGGCAGTTCTTATGGTCTTAAATAGAGTATCTTCTCACATACAACACATCCCCCACCCATGAATCAGTCCTCCAAAATCAGGCTGTGGGTATCAAGCTGATTTGCTCACTGGGATAGAAGCATCACAGAATCCTAGAGAAGCAGGAAGGGACCTCCCAAGGTCACATCCAGTCCAACCCTCTGCCCAAGGCAGGATCAGGCCTCTCCAAACAGTCCCAGCCAAATCCGTCATCTCAACCCATGGACAAGTTGACCTAGAAGGTCCCTCACAAGATCATCTAGTCCAGCGGTTCTCAACCGTTGGTAGCTTATGTACCCCCTGCCAATTGACATGGCAAAAGCGAAACCGGAAGTCCCACTGTGGCTGCAAGCCAAGTCCTGCTTTTTCCACCGCGGCCCGGGGCAAAGCAGCCTGCATGGGGCCTCCCTCCCTATCCCCTGGCACACTGACGCTGGGCAGTGAAACCCACAGTGCACCAGATGCAGCGGGAGGGGTGGTAGCCACAACTTCTGGCCCAAGCAGGCAAAAACCAAAACGCAGCACCTGTGTAACCCCTGCCTGTGTCTCACGTACCCCCAGGGGTACGCGTACCATGAGCTGAGAAACACTGATCTAGTCCAACCCCCTGCTCAAGGCAGGATCAGTCCCAACTAAACCCTCCCAGCCCCATGTCCATCCAACCTGCTCTTGGATGTTTCCAGAGACAGAGACTCTGCAGCCCCTCTTGGCCGCCTGCTCCAAGCTTAGACCACCCCCCTAGTCAGAAAGCTCCTCCTCATCTCAAGCCTCAGTTTCCCCTGCTGCAGATTGAGACCACTACTCCTAGTCCTGCTCCCTATGGTCACAGAGAAAAGCTTGTCTCCATTCTCTCTGTCATCGTCTTTCGGGGATTTGAAGGCTGTGATCCAAATATGCGCTCAGCCTTCTCTCCTCCAAACCAAACCACCCAAGCTCTTCCAGCCTGGCCTCATCAGTCCTGGTTCTCAGGCCTCAAGTCATTTTGGTCACCTGTGCTGGACTCTTTCCAATCTATCCACTTATTTCTTGAAGTGCAGGGCTTCCTTTCTGCTATATGTGTCAGGGTGTTTTTAAGCCTCCCCTAGGGGCATTGGGTATTGGCTACAACCCAGGTTGGGGATGGCAATTGGACTGTGCCAGTGTTCCTGCTGGGAGCAAACGTGGAGGATCCTGGCTAGGATCTTGCCCCTCTGCTCAGGCTCAGAGCAACACTGTATTTGGGGTCAAGAAGGAATTTTCCCCCATGGTCAGATTGGTACAGACTTGGTGGGGAGGTTGCCTTCCTCTGTAGCAAGGGCACAGCCTCTACGTGGGATCTCTGGAGCATATATTAACAACTTTTTATAGAAGCAGGCCTGCGGTCCCCCTGCATTCCCCGTGGCAGGTTCGGGTGTGATGTCTGTGTTGTGTCAGGGTTGACAGCCTTCTGTAGAGTTTTGATTCTGGATTTGTCTGGGATGGTTTGAACAGGGCAGATCCTGCCCCAGGCAGGGGGGTTGGACTGGATGCAACCTTGGGAGGTCCCCTCCCAGCCCCAGTTCTCTACGGAAGTGTCCCAAACTGGGCGCAGGACTCCAGAGGAGGCCTCACCAGCTGGAGACCGGGAAGGTAAAATGCTGCATTGCCTTGCGTGGGTCGGATGTGATTCAGTGACACTTGGGGCTCAGAGCGGAGGCGGAGGCAACACGCACTGGTCACACACGCATTCTCGAGCTGATCTGCTGGCTTGAGAGCTCCCCTCCGCAAGGCGCTGTACGATTTCCCCTCTGAATCCACTCTCAGATGCCAGATCCTGTATCTTCAGATGAGGCTGCAAAAGTGAGGGGGGCCTCTGGGGAACTAATCCAAATCAATGACCAAATGATAGCAGCGGGGGGTGGGGCGGGGGGGTGTAGGGCAGCGGCATTGATTTGAACTCCAATTAGCAAAGTTTGCTGCTTCCCTCCCGCTTCGTGAAATAGAAGAGGCTAATAGCTGCGGCACAACCATCTCTAAGACACAGTGTGAGAGCTGCTGTCCCCGAGCCAAATGATAGGGGGAAGACGAGTGTGCAGCCCCGGGGATTATAACAGCGGAGCGGCGCTACGTGCTTGTTAAGAGCCGAGATCTGCCCCGGAGAGGTGGCCAGTTGGGTGGTTTAACTCAGACGTGCCTCGCTCTGTGTAAAACCTGGTCAACAGACCCCATGAATGGGCCCAGCGAAGGGCAGGCTGTGAAACGGGTAGGCCTTTCATTAACAGGATGTTCGCAACTGTCAGCGACCTCGGTCTGGAAGTATGGGCTGGGAAAGGGGGGAGACGGAGAAAAGGTTGCATGAGATCTAATAGCAAGTTGTCTCCAAAGGGCTTCAGGCTCTTCTGGGACCCCCACACAAAGGATGTGGACATACTGGAGAGAGTCCAGCAGAGGGCAATAAAAATGGTTTGGGAGCTGGGGCACAGGATGGGTGAGGAGAAGCTGAGGGAAATGGGCTGACTGAGCTGCAGAAGAGAAGACCAAGGGGGTGTTGCATAGTAGCCATCACCTCCCTGAAGGGTGACTCCAAAGAGCATGGAACTGGACTGTTCTCTGATGACAGAACAAGAAGCAATGGGCTCAGACTGCAGCAAGGGAAGTTGAGGTTGGATATTAGGAAGAACTTTTTCCTGAGGAGGGTAGTAAAGCCCTGGAACAGACTCCCCAGAGTGGTATCTCCATCCTGGCAGTTTGAAGACCTGGCTAGACAAAGCCTTGGCTGGGATGAGATAGGTGGGTCTGGCTGCTTTGAGCAGGGGGCTAGACTAGATGCCCTCCTGAGCTCCCTCCCAACCCTCATTTTCTATGATTCCATAAATATCCTCCTTGATTTGCCTGCCGCCCAGGCCAGCCAAGCCAAAAGGTGAGTCTCCTATAAACAGGTGACCATCCGTGGTCTATGGCATGCTGCAGGAGCAGGAGAGGGAGGAGCTAAAGGCAGCCCCAATGCCATCATGGAGGTGAAATAACTGTGATCTCCACTGCCCCTAGCCCAGCTTGGCCCTGGCAGCTCAGTGCAGCAGGGTACAGGTCTTGGTGGGCTGGGATATCTCCGGGCCAGCGTCCGAGCACGAGGACCTCTGGGGCGGGAGCAGCAGAGCTCCATCATCAAGGGTATGAGCCCTCAGCAGAGGGTATTATTTAGGGCAGTGAGGGCCAATCTTTTTGACAGGCAGGCCAAAAACTGAGCCCCATTCTGTCCCCCCAATCCCCGTTCCCCTGCCACATTTGCTGCTCTTCTCTCTGCCCCCTACTCCCCACCCCATCTGCTGCTCTTTCTGCTCCCTATGGCCTAGCTAGGCCTAGATCACACCCGTCCAGTGACTGCTCTACTTCTCCAGGGGTGGAAAGTCCATAGCTCCCCTGGGCGTCTAACCCCACAGCCCCTCTGCTCTAACACTGAAGAAGTTTTCCCTAAGATGCATCCTAAACCTACCTGGCTGCACCTTCAAGCCATTGCCCCACGTCCTCCACTCTGCAGCAAAAGAGAAAAGTTCCTTTCCCTCTTCTCGATGGCAGCCCTTCAAGTATTTGAAGACTGCTGCCGTGTCCCCTCTTCAGTGCCTTTTCCTCAAGCTCCTCCAGCCCCTCCTTTTCAAGCCCTTGAGCATCTTTGTTGCCTGCCTCTGGACCCTCTGTAACTTCTCCATGTCTTTTCAAATGTGGAGCCCAAAAAACAGCACAGATGTCTCTAGATGTGGCCCTGGGGAAATCTTTTTCTTCATTCAGGTGCAGATCTTATTTGAGTTGTGTGGTATGCAAGAAAACACGGTAATCCTCCATGCACATGCTCCTAGATGACAAAGCACATGCAGGAGGAGGGAAGACACTCACAGGCTGTTTGGAATAAGGGTAAAAATACAGGGGCTACAGACTGGAGGCGACCGTGGCTGAGAAGGGAGATGAGGAGAGGCGCATGCTCCTTGCTCTCCCTGGCTTGCGTCAGTGAGATCTGCAGTCTGGCAGCCCCAGCTGCGAGTTAGCAAAGGAAGAGACATGTGTACGGATTGGCTTTATACAGCAGCCACACCACCATAATTAACCTCAAGTTATTAATTACTGGACAATTATTTATACAGCAACAGGTCTTGTGGGGCTTGATTTGGGATTGCGGGGTGTAGTGGATTAGCAGAAAGATCTCTGTCCCATGCGAGCCACTCTTATTGTACCTGACGTCAGTTGGCTGTGGAAGTATTTCCAAGCCCCTGGTGCTACACAGGTGAGTCAAGTGACCAAGATGGGGCTCTCAAACCTGCGTGCAAGAAACTTCTGTAACTTCAGCTTCCAGGGTCTGGTGTAAAGGACCGGGGGTAGGCAACTGGACTTAGTGGATTGCACTAGGTCAGAGGTTTACTGGAGTTAAAGGCAAGGTCATGGCGAGTATCAGGCCTAGTATAGGAGAACAAGCCAAGGGTCAAGATGAGGTTGTGGGTAGTCTGGCCAGGAGGTCCAAGATGGGAACAGAAAGAAGGTGCTAGGCTAGAGATTCAGGGCATGGAGTCAAGTTATACAATCAAAGAGAAATAGAGCTGGAAGGGGGGGGGGTGTCATATCTAGTCTCCCCCACCCCCCACAGGCAGGATCGTCCTATCCAAACCACCCCAGACAAACCAGTATGTAAACTCTACATAAGACGACTGTTGACGCAACGCAGGACATCACACCCAAACCTGGGATTGCAGTCGCCAACGTCCTGCTTCTATAAAAGGTTGTTAATATAAGCTCCAGAGACCCAATGTAGAAGACAGGCCCCCCTACAACAGAGGAAGGCAAACCCCGCTCTCCCCCAGGCCATACCAAAGAGGGAAAATTCTTTCCTGACCTTAAAGATGGTGTTGATCTGAGCCTGAGAAGAGGGGCAAGACCCGCCAGATAGGAACCACCAGGTTTGGTCCCAGTGGGACCATTGGTACAGCCCGGTTGCCACTCCCAGCATGGGCTGTAGCCAACACCCAATGCATCTGGGTTTGGCTTAAAAACCCCCTGACGCATGGAGCAGAAAAGAGGGGAGGGGGCAACCCCCAAAGCCCAGACACCTGGGAAATACCCATGATTTAGGAGCTCCAAGCAGGCCAGAGGCACCAGTCTCTTGCCCAGAGAGCTGTCTGTTGTCTGGTCCTAGCTTATGTAGCCACTGTGGGCAGAGCCATGTTCCCAAAGGATCATTCAGCCTCATTATTTCCAGATGGTGCCTGAGCCTGGATCTGCCCTGTCTGGGCCTCAGCTCATAACACCCTGGTATACAGCTAAATACGTGTGCATGCTCAAACACAGCACCTCTTCCCTAGACCTCTGAGCCACCAGGGGCTCAGGCAATGTCCACTGACACCATGGCCAGATCCAGCCAGAGCTGATATTTGTCCAGGGCTGGTGCTTAATAAAAAACCACCGTCGTTATCACACCTTAACCCTCCTCAGTTACTTCTGCCTTTCCCTTAAGTTTCCAGGGCCTGAGTAGGAGACGGCTGACTCAGAATAGAGGCGCCCACTGGTTGCAGAGGAGGCATCCTTCCTCCTCGGAGAACATGGGAAGCCAAAGCAATAACCCACCCCCCTCGCCCCCTCTCCCCATCAGCAGGCACTCTGAGACTCTGTGACTGGGAATGATGGATGCAGTTCATATGTTGCTGTGGGCTAATTCACCTAGGCTCTACTCACGGCTTTCACCCAAGTTTAGGGTCCTGTCCCTACCCCACATCGCCCTTCATGTCAGCCCCACTCCCCATCGGCTGATCTGGTTTCTGTGCCCACCTTGGAGGTCCCCTGGGAACAAGGCTGGGGAATTACTCACTTTCCAGTCTCTGAATCAGGGCTTTGTCCTTCACAACCGCCTCGGGCTTCATGGGCAGGGATTCGATGGGGATGTAGAGAACCGTGCGGCCCTTCATTTTGGAGCGTGTGTCTGGGGGAGGGGAAGAGATGGAGGGAGGTGCTGGGACATGGCCCGGACAAACCTGACATGCATGTACCTGGGCTGGCACAGGAATTCGGTGACTTCTTCCTCTAGGGACCAGTTCCACGCTGGCCTCAGGGGGTGGGAAGGCACTGGCTGGGGCAGGAGGGTCAAAAAATAGGGCCTGCAGGCCATCAATGACCTGCAAACCCCCACTGCCATCCCCAGACTCCTTCCACCACCAGACCCCTGCCCCCAAGCCCCTCACCACCACTGGACATGTCGGCAGCACTAAAAGGGCATGCATGATGCTACTAATGTAACACATGTAATGTATGCCCACCACCTCGTTCTCAAGCAGGAAAGCAGCGGTGCAAATCCCACAGGCCCCTGCACCCTGTGCTGGGAGCCCCAACCTGGCTTGGGAAAGGAGGAGGATAGAGCAGGGGGAAGAACCAGAGCAGGGACAAAGCTATGAGGAGTGGCTGCAACTCTACCTGTGAGAGAGGTCATAAAGTGATAGACCTCCGAGAAGAATTCATTCTTGATGCTCTCGGGCCAGGCTGCATGGCGGAAGAGGCGGGGCAGGTAGACCCCGTTGAGGAGCCGCAGTAGGCTGTCGATATAAGGCTGGCGGAGCGTGCCAAACTGTACCGTCTGCTGGAAGTTCTCGGCTGTGATCTCTGCGTTCTCGTGGCGGATGAAGTAGGCCAGCAGCTTCTGCTCCTGAGAGCAGGGAATGGCCCATGTGGTGGGTTAGTCAAAGGCAAAGCTGCCCCTGGCACCTCACCCCCTGGCCCCACCACCTTCACAAAGCTAGTAATCAAGCATGGACAACAGGGGCCAGTCAAAAGCCAAACGAGGTACGACCTCATCAATCCATGGCTTCCTGTAGATCCATCCATGGAGACAAACTGGGGATCCATCCATGTAGACCTAGCGGGGGTGGGGTGGGGAAGAGCCATAGATATGCTGGAGGGTAGGGCTAGGATTCAGAGAGACCTTGACAAATTGGAGGACTGGGCCAAAAGGACTCTCATGCAGTTCAGTAAGAACAAGTGCAGAGTCCTGCACTTAGGATGGAAAAATTCCAGGCACTGGGACAGGCTGAGCAGCAGCTCTGCAGGAAAGGACAGGGGAGGATCGACAATTAACTGAATATGAGCCAACAGGGTGCCCTTGCTGCCAAGGCGGCCAAGGGCATTCTGGAATGCATAAGCAGGAGCATTGCTAGCAGAAAATGGGGGTGGAAAGGGACTTCTGGAGGTTACCTCTAGTCCAACCCCCTGCTCCAAGCAGGACCAGCCCCACTAAGGCTCTGTCTAGCCAGATCTTCAAAACCTCCAAGGATGGATACCTCTCTGGGCAGCCTGTTCTAGTGCTTTACTACCTTCCTTGGGAGAGTTTGTCCTCATCTCTAAACTCAACTTCCCCTGCTGCCGCCTGAGCCCATTGCTCCTTGTTCTGTCATCTGCCGCCACTGAGACCAGTCCAGCTCCATCCTCTTTGGAGCTACCCTGCAGGAAGTTGAAGGCTATCAAATCCCACCTTGGTATTCTCTTCTGCAGACTCAATAAGCCCACTGCCCTCAACCTCTTTTCATCCGTCCTGTGCCCCAGCCTCCAAACCATTTTCGTTGCCCTCCGCTGGACTCTCTACAACAACTCCACATCCTTTCTGTATGGGGGGACCACAGCTGGACACAAGACTCCAGATGTGGCCTCCTCAGTGCTGAATAGAGGGGAAGAATCACTGCCCTCCATCTGCTGGCAACGCTCCTACCAATGCAGCCCAGGATGCCCCTAGCCTTCTTTGCAACAAGGGCACACTGTTGACTCCTATCCAGCTTACTGTCCACTGTAACCATAGTCATACTGCCACAACTCCCCTGCTGCCAAACTCCCAAGTTCTGCAGGGCTGGACTGGGGGCCAGACCATGCCTCCTCCCCCCACTCTTCACCATGCAGCCAGATCTGGGCCAAGGCCCGATAGGGGCTGGGCCACTCCCCAACCTCCCCACATGCCTGGATCAGGCCCTGCCTCACCACCCAGAGCACCGAGTCTGACCCTCCAGCCAGATCCAGCCCATGGACAGGCTTGGCACCATCAATCTGGCCCAGGGAGGAAAAAGCCTAGGCATCACTGAGCTCGAGGTTTAGCCTTGTCACAGCCACTGCTGTTCTACTATGGGTGTCCATGCCTTCCTCTGTAGCAGGGGCACAGCCTGCACCTGGGAGTCCCCCAGCTTTCCCTGTGGCAGGTTCAGGTGTGACATCCTGCGTTGTGTCAGGCTCAACAGTCATCTGATGTAGAGTTCAGATTCTGCATTGTCTGGGACAATTTGAACAGGGTTGATCCTGCCTCGGGCAGGGGGTTGGACTGGATGTGACCTCTGGAGGTCCCCGCCCACCCTGACTCCCCTACAATCGCTATGAAAGGGTGTTCTGCCCTTTTAAGCCCATCTTGCCCCAGCTGCCTCTTTGTGGGCAGTGTTCGCATCCGCAGAATTAAGCATGCGTGTCCCTGCCTGCCTTCGTTTCCTTCAAAGCCTCGTAAAGGACCTTGCCAAAGGCTGTTTGAAAGTCTAAATACATTTCCATATTTATCCCCTCTTTGGCTGAGACGCTTGGAGAATTGTAAGAGACAAGAGAGGCACAATTTTTGCCCGTGCACGCCTGCTCCACGGCTGCAATTCCCTCACTGGGACGGTGGCTCAGTCCCGTGGCCAGTGGGTAAGGACAGACGTCGCCCTTACTGCGTTTCCAAGTGAAACATGTTTGAAGCTACTTAGAAAACGAGCCGTTTCAGCCAGCCACGGGGCCCCAGAACCAGCTGCAGCTACCTAGGGCTCTTGTTGCCTTTTTCCCCGCTTTGCTGGATTGGAAGCACCATCCAGCCTGTGGTCGGACCAGGCACTTCATGTTCGGCTTGCTGGGGAAAAAGCTTGAGCAGCACTGATTTAAAGATCTAAAAATATCGTCCACCTTGACACAATGTTAGACATCACACGCGAACCTGCTGCAGGTAGAGTAGGGGGACCACGGCTGACAATGTCCTGTGGCTGGAAAAGGTTGTTAATACACACTCAAGAGACCTCAGGTAGAGGCCGTGCCCCCTGCTACAGAGGAAGACAAAGCCCCCCCAGTCTGTACCAGTCTGATCATCGGGGAAAACTATTTCGTGACCCTACATACAGCATCGGGCCAAACCTGGGCAGAGAAGCAAGAGTCTCTAGCCAAGAACCTCCATTTTTAAGACCAAGCAGAAACATTGGCACAGCCAGTCAAAACCCCAAGCCAACACCCAATGCCTCTGATTGGGGTTTAAAAAGACCCCCAAAGCATCACAGAGAAAGGGCAGCGATCCTCAACTGGGATCAGGACCAGATTAACTCATAGGCAAACAAGACACATGCCTAAGCCCCTAAGTGAAGAAGGGATCCACAGTTGTGCTTATTTTACATATTATAATTATTGACTGAAAAAAGTAACATAAAAATGTCATCTTCAACTGGGGGCCCATGAGTTTGTTTGCCTAGGGCCCACTAAAAGGTTATTTTGGCCCTGAATGGGATGCACCCTGGGGCACCAAGAGATCCTTTTAAGGGAAAACCCCAATGCTAGGTGTGCGAACACCTTCACTTGATTCATGGAATCATAGAAAATGAGGGTTGAAGGGACCTCAGGAGGTCACATCTAGTCCAACCCCCTGCTCCAAGCAGGACTGGCTCCAACTATATCATCCCATCCTAGCTGAGTCTTCAAAACCTCCAAGGATGGAGACTCCATCACCTCTCCTGGCAGCCTATTCCAGTGCTTTACTACCCTCCTCATGAGAAAGTTCTTCCTAATATCTAACCTCAACTTCCCTTGCTGCAGCTTGAGCCCATTGCTCCTTGTTCTGTCACCTGAGAATACACTCTTCAGAGCTATCCTTCAGGGAGGTGACGGCTGCTATTCAACCTCCTCTCGGTCTTATCTTCTCTGAACTTGATCAGCCCAGTTCTTGCAGCCTCTCCTCATTTGTCCTGTGCCTCAGCCCCCAAACCATTTTGGCTGCCCTTCACTGGACTCTCTCCAACATGTCCACATCCTTTCTGTAGCGGGGGGCCTGCAACTGGACACAGGACTCCAAATGTGGCGTCCCCAGGGCTGAATAGAGGGGTCACTGCCCTCCATCTGCTGGCAACGCTCCTACCCAGGCAGCCCAGGATGCTGTTACCTTCTTGGCAACAAGGGCATTTTTATAGATTTATATCCGGTTTATTGTCCACTGTGATCCCCCCCCGGTCCCTTTTTTGCAGAGCTGCGGCTGAGCCAGTCGGTCACCAGCCTGTCCCCCAAAGGGCCTGGGATTGTTCATCCTAAATGCAGGACTTTGCACTTGTCCTTATTGAACCTCATGAGATTTCTTTTGGTCTAATCCTCCAATTTGTCTAGGTGTCTCTGAATCCTAGCCCTACCCTCCAGCATATCTACTGCTCCCCCCAGCTTGGTGTCATCTGCAAGATAACATCATGAGATAACCTCAGAGATTTCACATAGGAATCCAGGGCGTCCAAAACACTATGCCCAGCCAGGGGCTGACTGAGTTCTTTGCAACAGGAAATTTGCTCTAGTACATCTCCACAGCCAAGAAACAAGGGAAAGTGAAGAGCTGGCATTTTCTGAGGGGGGCCTAGATTCTTTGGGGGTCAGGGATCTGCAATCTATAGCCCGTGGGCCAGATTCAGCTGCTGAAGCCACTAGATCCAGTCCGTGGACATGGGGCTTTGGTTACAGGCGCTCTCTCAATGCCACCACGGGGAGAAGCACCAGCTGCAGGCAAGTCCTAGCACCCACCTTGCCCATGGCTGCTTTAGGGAGTCTGACTCAGTCCCACTGCTGGGCTTATAGCAGGGTGCACAGGGCACGAGGATCAGCAGCACAGGGGTGAAGACCCCCTGCTGGTGGGGTGATAGTCAAGCCCCGGATGGCTGAGAGCCAAAGGGATCCCTTCACCTCACAGGTCCCCTTGTGGCCTCCCAGAAGCAAACAGACCTGGTAGGGGATGGCATGTTCCACCTTCAGCCCGGCAAATTCATCTACATAGACAACCAGCAGTTGCTTGGTGGGGTCCTTCAGGAACACGTCCACAGCTGCCTTGTGCTCTTCTGTCCACATGTCATCCTGGACCCCGCTCAGGCCCAGCCTGCTTCGGATATAGGGTTTCTGGGGACAGAGGGTAGATGGGAAACAGCATTAGGGAAGCCACAGAGGTGGAGGATGGAGACAGGGACAAGAAGAAGTGTAACGGAGCACTCCTCAGAGCCAAACCTGGAGAATACAGCATCCTTCAGAGGCCCGGGAGAGACTGATGGGATAACAGATGTCAAATCCCCAACATCCTTCACATAGGGGGCAGCAACTGGGCATCAGAGGGGCCACAGATGCTACTCTCAAAGCAAAAAAAATTCTCCTGGCATCATTATGCATTCTGCTAGCCAATCACTGTCCCCGGGGGCTCCTCAAGCCTGAGAAGAGGAGCTTCATTTGTCAACCTGATTGAAAGACAATCGCACAGGAGAGTGTCAGGGGCTGGGCAACACCATTCTAACAGAGAAGGGAGAGGAGACAATAAAGGTGGGGAAGGAACAGGGAGGAATGAAAGGAGCCAGTTTGGAGCTGAGTGGTAGCAGCTGTGTGGGCTTGGATTTGGGAGGATGGTGGGGAGAAGAAAACCATTAAGCCTTCTCTCCTTGTCTGGGTCCCAGGGGTGTGGAAAGAAAACCTGGGAAATTAGGATTAAATTAAGTTAACATCTGGCAGAAAAAACTTTCCAAGCAGATATGACCCACTGTAACGGAGCAAAACCCTATTCTCTGCCATGTGGGCAAGCGCCTTAGAATCACAGAACAGGAGGGTGGGAAGGGACCTCAGGAGGTCACATCTAGTCCAACCCCTGCTCAAAGCAGGACCATCCCCAACTAGATCATCCCAGCCAAGGCTTTGTTGAGCCGGGTCTTCAAAACCTCCAAGGATGGAGATTCCATCACCTCTCCAGGTAACCCGTTCCAGTGCTTCACCACACTCCTAGGGCGCCTGTCCACAAGATTAAAAATTGCCCTTTTTTGCAATTGAACTCAGTTACAGCTTTCATGTAGGGGTTGTTCTGGCAATTTAAATGAGAACATTTTTCCTAATATCCAACCTAAATTTCTCTTGCTGCAACTTCATACTGTTGTTTCTTGTTCCATCATCTGCCCCCACTGAGAACAGTCCAGTTCCATGCTCTTTGGAGCCACCTTTCAGGGAGTTAAACGCTGCTATCAAATCCCACCTCAGGCTGCTCTTCTGCGGACTAAGAAGAAGCAGAACTCCTTTATTCTGCCCCCCGCATTTGCCCACTCCGGCAGGTCAGCTAATGCACAGATTAGAAAGGCAATCTGGGCCCCTGCTGGACAAGTTCTCTGAGGGCAGGGGTGCTGGTTTAACACTCACTGCCAGTAACGACAGCTAATGGGGCCCTCAGACACGTAAGAGCTTCGCAGCCTGGAACGCGGGGAGATGAGACACTTCACTCAGGCACTGGAACCAGGCTGAAGTGGAGCAATTACCCCAAATTGCAGGACTGTGAATAAAGGCGGGTCCCACATCAAAGAGAAACGTGGCAGGGAGGAAAGGAATGCAAGAAGGCCAGACAGAGTTGGACACTGAGATCACTAGGGATCCCAAGTGCTTTTGTGGGGTGGAAAGGTCTCATGGGATCCACCACAGTGTGAAGTCTCGAGAATCTCTCCCCTATACTCACTCCGGTCTGGCCAGGCAAGACAAAGGCACATTCCCTGCCTGGGTGCCTGGGGCTGGAGATTGAGGGGTAACACACTGCCGTATGTGAGCCCAGCCAACCAAATCAGCTCTGACCCAGCACCGTGGTGACCAGACCCTGGAAGATGGAACAAAGAGATTATCCTGCCCAGCATTTTCAGCCCTGTGCAGGGACCAGGCATCTCTGAGAGATGGATCCAAGGGGCACAGCCACCTCTGTGTTACCCTGCCTTTCTGCAATGGGATAGAAAGGCAGTGTCAAGCCCCTGTAGATCTCCAAGTGCTGGGGAACCTACCAAATCCACTTCTTTCTCCTCCAAAGAGAGGCATGCCTCTTCTTCAGCTTCGGCCTCCTCCTGGGCCTTCACTACCCCCTCGCCAGGTCCTGGAGAGCTGACAGCTGAAAGGAGAAGTTGACCACGTGAAAATCATCCACGTTTCTCTGACCACCCCCCTCACACTTTTTCCCTGGTTTATTTCCTAGCGTGCTCAGCACTGGAGGAAAGTACCAGCTCAGCAGCCCCCTAGGGAATGGATCTGTCTCTGGATCCCCAGAGCTCCAGGTGCAGCCAGTCACATATGCAAGAACGTACCCCCTCCCTGGAAGGCTTCGCCTTGCCTCCCTGTGGAGATCTCCAATGAGGATTGTGCTGGCTGCGATCACTGCACCCCCCACAATCTAGACACTCCTCCCAACCAGGAGACCAACCGCCCCCGCTCCCCAACCCCAATCCTTCCGCACAGAAGAGGAGCTGCCTCGTGGTAACAACTTTTAGTCACTTCCAGAGCTGAAACTTCCAGTCCCCACTCACCAGAACCTGCCCATCCATCAGTGCTTGAGGCAAACTCGTTACAACAGGTTCTCTGCACTATGCCAGCCAGTGTGGGCCCCCCACATAGTCCCTCCATCTCCACACTCCCCCACCCACTGCAGGCCAAACTGGAATGGGGCCCCAAAAGATCACAGAAAATGAGGATGGGAAGGGACCTCAGGGGGTCGCATCTAATCCAACCCTCAGCCCCAACTACATCATCCCAGCCAAGGCTTTGTCCAGCCAGGTCTTCAAAACCTCCTCTAGAATGGAGACTCCACCACCTTTCTGGGCAGACTTTTCCTGTGCTTCACTACCCTCCTCCAGAGGAAGTTTTTCCTAATATCCAACCTCAACTTTCCTTGCTGCAGCTTGAGCCCATTGCTCCTTGTTTTGTCATCTAAGAAAAGTCCAGCTCCATGCTCTTTGGAGCCACCCTTCAGGGAGTTGAAGGCTGCTATTCAATCCCCCCTCAGTCTTCTCTTCTCCAGACTCAAGGTCAGTGCCCTCAGCCTCTCCTCATCCATCATGTGCCCCAGTCCCTAGACCAGTCTTGTTGCCCTCTGCTGGACTCTCTCCAACATCCTTTCTGTAGTGGGAGACCCACAGCTGGACCCAGGACTCCAGCCAGATGTGGCCTCCCCAGTGCCAAAGGGGAAAAATCACTTCCCTCCATCTGCTGGCAACGCTACCAACGTAGCCCAGGATGCCCTCAGCCTTCTTGGGAACAAGGGTACCCTGATGGCTCTTACTCAACTTATTGCCCCATCACCCCCAGGTCCTTTTCTGCAGAGCTGCTGCCCAGCCAGTTGGCCCCCAGCCTGTCCTGGGGCCTGGGATTCTTTCGTGCCTATCTTCAAGAAAGGAAGGAAGGAAGATCCAGGGAGCTACATGCCAATCCATTTGACTTCAATCCCTGGAAAGATCTTGGAAAAAAATCAAAGAAGCCATCAACAACAGGCTAACGGAAAGCTACGTTCTGAGAGACAGCCAACATGGCTTTGTTGCCAGTAGGCAGGGGTGACGTGTAGCGGGTACACGTGGGGGCACATACACCCCCTGAGCGTGGCAGTACATCCCCTAGAAAAGGTACTGCCAAAGTCAGCAGCACCTGCAGGCGGTCACCGCTTGCCACCCTGCCGCAGACACCTCCAGCAGCATCTGCAGGTGGTCGCCGACCCATGATCGGTGGCCGCCATCCCACCCCCCTACTGCTGACAGCGCCGGTGGCATCTGTGGGAGCTCCCTGCTCACCGCCACCATGTTCCCACCACTACCGTGCCTCCCCAGCCGCCGGGGGCACAGGTCGTTCATGCCAATAGGTCTTGCCTGACCAACCTCATGTCCTTCTATGACCAGGTGACACATCACCTGGACAAAGGAGAAGAAATTAATGTCATATATTTAGATTTCAAAAAAGCCTTTGACTTGGTCTCCCATGATGTTCTCATGGTAAAATTGGGGACCTGTGGCCCCAGCTGATTTCCTGCCCTTTGGGCAGGGGGCTGGACCCAATGATCTCGCAAGGTCCCTTCCAGACCTATCGTCTATGAAATCTATGAAGTCCTAAATGCAGGACTTTGTACTTGTCCTTGTTGAACCTCATGAGATCTCTTTTGGTCCCAATCCTCCAATTTGTCTAGGTCACTCTGAATCCTACTCATACCCTCCAGTATGTCTACTACTCCCCCAGCTTGGTGTCATCTGCAAACTTGCTGACGGTGCACTCTGTGCCATGTTCCACGTCATTAATTAAACCACTTGATACCAGCTACCAACTAGGCATCAAGCCATTGACTATTACTACCCTTACAGCCTGATGATCCAGGCAGTTTTCTGTCCACCTTACAGTCCATTCATCCAACCCATACTTCCTTAGCTTGCCTGCGAGAATGTTGTGGGAGACTGTATCAAAAGCCTTGCTAAAGTCAAGGTACACCACATCCACTGGTCTCCCTACATCCACAGAGCCAGTCATCTCATCATTCTCCTGCCTCAGACCAAATTGAAACGGGCACCCAAAGGATGAGCATCTAGCTCTGTTATATTCCATCACCCCCACACTAACACCCGCCAACCCCTGGGTGCAATCAAAGGGCTTCATTAGCTCCAAATGAACCCATTGCTGCTGTGCAGGAGATGAGACTTTAAGAACAGCCGGAGCTGGTAGATTTGAGAGCACTTGCTAACATGGGCTCCTCCAGAGCAGTCAGTCTCTCTTGATCGGAGTGACAAGGCCGCCTCCTGAGCCTCTCTGACACATTAGGATAGAGAAGTGTGACATGTGGCTAAATGTTTCTGTTCCTGATTGTTGGACCTACGAATGCGACGCCCTGTAAATTCAGCAGAAAGGGACCACAGGGACACTGATGCCAGTGCTGCGGCGAAGCATGACAAATGAAACAATCAAGCCCAAGTGATATCCACTCTTTAAAATTAAATATCTCCCCCGCCCCCTGGCTCCCCTCGCGAAACGCCCTGGGGTGCTCTGCTGCTAGGGCTCCAGCTCTGTTTGCAGACGGAGGAGCATAGGGTTGGATATTCCTAGTATAACTTTGGTTGAGATGTGAAACTCTTGCAAAGCCAAGCAAAGGGCTTACGGGAGGTGCCAGGTGAACAAGCTCTGGTCACAGAGCACGTCATAGAATCGCAGAGCCCCAAAGGACCTGCAGATCACATTGAGTCCAGGACCAGCCCTGTCCAAAGCAGCTCAGACAAACCCAGCATCCAAACTCACTGTTGGCCCTGACACAGCACCAGGCATCACACCTAAATGTGCCGCAGGGAAAGCAGGGTGACTGCAGCCGCCAATGCCCTGCTGTCATGAAAGGTTGTTAATATACGCTCCAGAGATGCCAAGTAGAGGCCATGTGCCTTCTACAGAGGAAGGCAAGCACCTAACCCCAGTCTGTACAAATCTGACCAGGGGAAAACTTCCTGACCCCACACATGGCGCTGGTTTGACACTGAGCAGAGGGGCAAGACCCTCTAGCCAGGACCTCCCAGCAGAAGCAGTCCCCATCCCCAACCTGGGCTGCAGCTAACACCCAGTGCCTCTAGGGGAGGCTTAGAAATGCCTGAAGAAAGGTGCTTGTACCCAAAAGCTTGCAAAGAACAATTTTTTCCAACTATTTAGTTGGTCTAATAACAGATATCACATCTACTCATAGAACCTGGTCTGCCTATATCCTTAAAAACCTTAAAATCCCCCTGACACACGTAGGAGAAAAAGGGGGAAGTGGGTAACCGGCAAAGCCCAGACCCCTGAGAAATCCCTGTAGCAGAACACAGGTGTCACTACACCTAGATTACCCCCAACTAGTGGCTGTCCAACACCCCTCCAGTGATGGAGAGTCCACAAATCCCCTTGGCGTCTATCCCACTGCCTCACTGCTCTAACAGCAAAGGAGGTTTTCTTGAGACTCAGCCCAAACCTGCCTTGCTCTTGGTCTGCCTCCTATTCTCTTGTCCCCAAAGAGATATGGCCTGGGCAGAAGCAGGTAGTCGTGTGTGTCTGTCCCATCCCCCCCCCCACGAACATAGACAGTACCATCCGTGCACCCCACCTTTGCCTTCTAGGAGGAAAAGGGCAGTGCTGGGGGCTGCTGAAGGGTCCCGGAGGACTGTGCAGGGGTCCCAGGCTGGTGGGAAGGGGCAGTCAGGTCTGTGTTGGGAGGTCCTGGGGGCTATGAGAGGGTGCCAGGCCAGTGCTTGATGGTGTGGGAGGTCCCAGCGGACTGTGTTGGGAGTTCCAGATCAGTGCTAGGGGTACTGGGGAGTCGGGGAGTGGGGGGGGCTGTGTGGGGGTCCCAGGTCATTGCAGGGGTGTTGGAGGGTCCAGATGGCTGTATGAGGGTCCCAGATCAGTGCAGGGGGGTATTGGGGGGCCCAAGGGGCTGTGTGGAGGTTGCAGGTCAGTACAGAGGGGGTGCTCCAGAGTCCCAGGGCCTGTGTGGGAGTCCCAGGTCAGTGGCAGGGGGGATGCTGGGGGGTCCCAGAGAGCTGTGTGGGGGTGCCAGGGCAGGGCAGAGGGGTGCTGGAGGGTCCAAGAAGGTTGTATGGAGGATCCCTGGTCAGTGCAGGGGGTACTGGGGGGGTTTAGAGGGGCTGTGTGGAGGTCCCAGGTCAGTGCTAGAAAATCCAGAGGGCTGTGTGAGGGTGCCAGGTCAGTGCAGGGAGGTGTTGGGAGACCTTCACACAGCCCATGGGACCTCAGGTCAGTGCAGGATGGGTATTGGGAGGTCCTGAGGGGCTGTGCAGGGGTCCTTGGGTACCATATCAGTGCTGGGGATGTCTTGAGGCAGAACCACCTCCATCTGAACCATCCTAGTCCAGGGTTTGTCTAATCCAGGACTGGCTTAAGCCGGAAGAGGGAGGGGGAGCCCGGAGACTCCAGCTGTGAGCAAAGTGGGGCAGGGGGTAGTGTCTGGGCCCATTTTGTTTTCACAGCTGTGGGTGGCAAAGCCAGTTAGAACAGCTTGTGGTGACCATAGTATGATGGAGCCACATGTGCCGAGCAGCTAAGCATCAGGGCTGATGCCTCCCAAATCCAACCCCAGCAGGGGCGATGGGATCTTTCCATCTCCCA